ACACACACACACACACACACACACACACACACACACACACACACACACAATTTTTTTTTGCAAGGAGAAACATTGGATTGGCAACAATCTAATTCCAGTGACTTCTAGAACTGCAACGTTCTTGGCTAGTGACACCTACATAACTCAGATGAGAGTAGTGGGGAGAAGACTAGACTAGCCAAGGCTTATTTTTCATTTTCATGACTGCCTGAAGGGATGCCTTAGACATATCCCCTCTCCCTCAAACAAACATATTAACAAAGTGACAGCCTCATTCAGTTGAAAAGGGTAGATTCCCATTAATATATTTTTGTCCCTATCGTTGTGGAATTATGAATTTCACTGAGAGATGGTTAAATATTGCAAAAATTTTGGTCGTCTTGCTCTAGCATTAAAAACTAATGCTTTAATTCTCATGGCACCCCAATTCCATCAGGATTCTAAAGGGATTATGTGCTATATTGTTTACTGTCAGCTTAATGGATTTGACCTGTCTCTTAAAACAATGTATCAAACAAATTGTAGTTTTGTGTGTGTGTGTGTGTGTGTGTGTGTGTGTGTGTGTGTGTGTGTGTGTGTTTAAAGATGCGAGTATTACTATAACATTTACAACACAGGAGGCAAAACCAGGTTTGCTTTTTTTTTTTAACCACAATATTTTTGCAAAATTCACAAGGCAATACTATTGATAAATAAAAATGTCAACACTGTAAAAAAAAAAGCCCTTTTTTACAATCTAAATGTATTTGCACCATCATCTGTACTGATAACAGTTTACAATAATACACTTTGTATTTTTTAGCAGGCTTTAAACATTCTTTGACTTTTCAACTTCTTATTCAACAGGAAAGCCTCACAACAATGCCATGAGGTAGATCATTTAATGTCCTATTTGGTAGAGGTAAAAGGTATTGCATGATTCCTATAACACCACTTAACAGGTCAGATATCAAACTAAATATAGGACATATAAATCCTGTTTTAAAAATCTACTTTTCCATTTCTCAGATTTATTTATGGCCTTTTGTATTTATTCTTCTCATTTGTGTTTAAATGTCATTGAACTGAAATGAGCACTGAATTATTTAAGTCAGTGTACATTTTCACAGATACTTAGCAAAAAAGCTATGGGTCTTATGAAATGTAAATATGGTTACACAAAAGCACATATTCATTGTTACAGAATTTACATAGTAGAAATTTATTTATTTCGTAGACAGATTTGTTTTCCTGTTTCTACCAAAGACTGTGTTTAGCTTTAATATAAAAAGGTCTGTCTTCAATCAAACACACCTTAAATTTGCTAAATATTCTCCAGAAAGCTTTGGGTGTTTCTCTGCATATAGAAGGAAGTGTAAACATTTAAGTTTTTACTCTGCTTTTTCTATTGATATTTAGTTATTAGTAGTCATCAACTCAGAAATTTGGTGACATTTTCTTTTTAAAAAGAAAGTGTATATGGATGATCTTTTGTGTCTATTATATCTTAATATTAAGACGTAAATAATAACTAGGAAATTTTTAAAGTTATATTTATCTTGTTTACATATATTGCGCTAAACCCACATACACATAAATTAACAAAACTTTGTCATTAAAGAAACAGAAAGGCTAGATTTTTCTCTGATAAATCAGAACAAATCTAGCACTTGAGGTCTCACATCTGCATCCTGAAGATGAATACTCCTGCATCTCTGTAGTCACAACCCTGGTGACAGATGACCATGCACCTGCAGCTGTGTCTATGAGCAGACATAGTCCCAAATAGATTGAGATATCAAAAATGATTTTGAAAATCTAGTAAATCACTTAGGGATTTCTTATAGTGTTATTTAAGCATTCTAAAATCAATTACATGAATTTAAAGAAGGAATAATTTTTAAAAATTATATGGTTTTTGGAGTCCAAGGCACATTAATAATAATTTGTAGTAGCTAGTCCATATTGAGATACTGTGTGCAGACACTGTTCCAAGTGCTTTACTTTTATGAATACATTTAATCCTCATAACAACCATATGAGGTAGATACTATTTTTATTCCTATTGTGGAGATGAAAGTGCTAAGAGATGTTAAGAAACCTGTGCAAGGACACATAGTTCATATGGATCAGAGCCAACATTTCAGCTTGGGCAGCCTGGTTCCAAAGCTTGTGCTCTCCACCACTAGACTCTGGGCTGTATTTAAGCCCCAAAGTCACTTACTCATTTGACAAATTAAGTTAATTTATCTTAAGGCTCACAGAGGCTTTCCTTTCCTCCGTATACAGGAAACATCCATGCAGTGCTTAATATATGTGAGGTACTGTTCTAAGTGCTTATACAAGTCAATTATCCCAACCTGTTAAATATCTGACCTGTCAGAGAGCTGAGGACTTACAAAAGCACCAGTTACCATCTGCTGATATAGATATTTCTAAATAAATAACTGGATAGCTCATTCCACCAAAAATCTGAGGAGTGTTTTCCCTGCTGTTAATCTTTTGAAAGCAACTCTGTTTGCCTATGTCCCATCAGTTCTTTTTTTCTTCCTTGTACACATGGAAAAATGCTCCCAAGATTCTTCTTTTTTCTTCTTTCTGGCCTAACTTCAATTGATATATGGATGGCAAGATGCTGTTAAAGAATAAGTCAGAAATGCTTCTTAACAATACAACATGCATCCTGAAGCTAGTTCTTGTGTGTATAACAATATTGCCAGTAAGTTCAGATACACTCAAACATGTTTTAAATGGCAACTCTTCTTGTTAATGATAATCCTTTGTATTATTATTTACAAACCCAGGTTGGAGTTCAAGGTATATTGTAAATCCATGCTTCTCCATTCTAGCCATTGAATGTCCAGCCATCAGTCCTAGAATGTTGAAGCTCTGAATTCTCAGGGAGTGATATTTTGCAACAAGAGTCACAGGTGCTTCAGGTTATTATATATAAGTTTTTGGCAGCCCTAGCAGCTCCTCATATACTGTGAAAAATGATGTTCCTTGTCTTTCATTGGGGGAAACCATTTATAAATACTCATCTTATTAGTAAGTATCACAGTTTCTCTTGTGAGTGAGGAGTTGGTGTTATTGCCATTTGCTATGTTTTCCTCCCTCAGGGTAGAGAAAGAGTTCAGTCACTTGTATGCAAAGACCACCTTGTGATATTAGATTGGTCTGAGTCAGAGGATTTCTTGACATCCAGAAAAAGCACGGATCCAAACCACATGACTATAAATAATATACAATATGCAGGCATTTCAGCTTCGTGTGCCATGGATATAGTTCATAGGCAATTCACACTAGATACCAGTCTTTGAGGCAATCCATTCTCGATACTGAGTCACTCTGGTGTAGACCCCGGGTTTTTTGGGAAGAGCACATGATTGTCCCCAACTTACTATACCAACTAAGTACCAGATGTCATGATTATCATAAACCAGCGGCCCACCAGAATCGCCCTTGAGAAAAAACAAAAAAATATTTAAAGTTATTAACTCTAGTTTAATTTAGGAGGAAAGTCATTGCAATCATCTCCCTTCCACAGGAAAAAAAAAATTGGTACATGGAGTAGGCAGCCAGACTAGAGATAGATGATATAATGTTTCTCTGAATTGAGTTAAAATTTTGTCCCAAACATTAAAATGCATTGTTTTCTAGAAAGGCTAAACCTTATTCACATGGAATGGTTACATTATTTATGGTTCAACATCCTTGGATTTTTTTTTTGTTAGTTTGATTAGACACTTCATGCATGGTTTAGTAAGTATGTATATGAAATATTAAATATGAAGTTAGCATTTGCAAGCATAGGTGGAAAGTTTGGTGATCTCTAAATACTGTTAGCTAGACTCTATACTATAGATCGATTCTTGGTCTCCTTGTCTTTCGTGAACCTAACTCTAATTTAAGCTTGCTTGCTTAATTTTATATAAGCTCTCTTAAATCTGTTTTGGAACAAGGACAATTAAGTAAATAAACAGATATACATGTAGAGGTTGAGAGTGTGGTCTTGGTAGTTGAACTGCTAAGTTTCAGGACTAGCTCTATTAATTACTGGCTGTATGAATTAGGGTAAGTTATTTCTCTGTGCCTCTTCCACCTCATTCATTTATTCTTTTATCAACTACTTATTGAGTTCCAACTATGTGTCCCAGGCATTTTGGTGGGCATTGAGGATTCAATGATGACTGAAAGTGAATGGTCCCCATACTTATAAACTTGAAGTTTAGGTTATAAAAACAATATTAAAGCCCATGAATAAATGCAAAGTGACAACTATGATAAGTGCGATGGAAACATACTCAGGGGAATGTGACTGGTCAAGGAGGTCAGGGAAGTTTTTCCTGATGAGATGTAATTCAGTTGATATCTAAAGGATTTAGACATGAAAAGGAAGGTGGGGATATAACATGTTCTAGGCAGAGGAAATGGCACTGCAAATGCTCTGTGGCATGTAGGAGCCTGGCATACGCAAAAGTCTGGAGGAAAAAAAAAACGAGGACTGAAGGGAAGACAACAATGGGGCAAATGGTGTGTGATGAGGCTCGAGAGGTCAGGAGAACAAGCCCTTGAGGAACCCTGTGGGTCTTTCTTAGAAGTTATATTTTCCATCTTAAGACTGTGTTAGGTAATACAGTAGTAAATCAGATAGACCCCCCCAAAATCTGTAACTTCATGAAGTTTATATTCTAATTTAGTGGGAGAGACAGACAATAAACCATCTAAATAAAATATATTGTATACTGGATGGTGATAAAAGCTAAAGGGCAAAATAAAACAAAGGACACAATCTACATACGTGTGGCTGTATAAGTTCAGGGGGTGAGGAATGACAGGTTGGGCAGTAGCATAGAGAGTGTGGCCTAGGGAGCAGGAATAGCTTGAGATGCAGGCAGGAAGGATTGAAGATAGTTGTTAAATAGGAAGATTTAGGGAATTAGTATTTTTGGAGATGCAATAATTTTTGGTGACAAAGCTCAAGATGTGACCCTAGAAATGATGACTGAGAGGAAGCAAAGATCACTTGGGGTTAGAAGGTCTAGGAACTAAGAGTCCAGCATTTCAGTGGGTCAGTGTTAGTACCACAGGCTTGGGATGGAGAGGAAACCTGTTTCAAGTGTCAAGGTCATTGAAGAGTGAGAGGGACAAAGAGAGAGACTTGGAGGCCAAGGGATGAAAACAAGATGCATGAGAGATGATGACAAAGCTGAATAAAGTGGTTTTCAGAGGACAGGTTTCTCTGTCTTTTGTTTCCAATTTTGTTTAAGAAAATAATAGAACAGAAGAGTAATTGTTTGAACCAGAAATAGGGAGCAATAGACTTTAATCTCCTAATTTGTAAAATAAGCATAATAATAACACCTCTTCAAATTCACTATATTAAATTAAATATTATATATAACGTGCTTAGCACTTGGCTTGGCATACAGTAAACACTCAATACAAGAATTTTTAATATTATGATATTAAATAAACTGAATTCTTCGTGAATTGGATGATTTTTTTTTCCTCTCTTAGGGGAAATATATGCCATGCTAGAAATAGCTAATGGAAATGTTCTTTTCCAAGTTTTGACCTTGACTTTGGACTTACCTTACATGCGTCTACTTTTCCTTCCATGAATCCAGCACATAGCATTCCTGAAGTGATCAGGCCATCATATACATCCTTTCTATTACATACATTAGTACTTATGGTTTCCACCCTGGCTTGCCGAAGTTTATTTTGTGTGGGTCCTATTACACAAACATACACATACAAACAAAAAAATGCGTTCTTTGAATATAACTGTATTTAAAACATGAAAAACAAATATGTTGTGTATTCCTAGGAACAAAAGCACAAAAACAAAAGATTACTTTATTAACATTAATTATAATTCATTATTGCCTAATTTATGTTCTGTTTCATAAATGCCTAAATGCAAGGAACTATAAACATACATACCCCAATATTATATCATATTTGTGAATCTTCAAGTTATTAGAACCCCTACAACTATATGTAATAGTCTGTGTATACACCTTTTTTTTCATGAGAAGAGGGTTCACCCCGCTCATCTTGACCAACTGGTACCCTTTTCGTATAAGAAAATCAAGGCTCAGAGAAGTATATTTATTTTCTGAAAGATATTCAAGCAGAAACCAGTGCATGAGCTGCACAGCGCTACTTGCCCTATTCTATGCTGTAGTGTGTTATTTAGGGATGTCTTAAAGCATGGGAAACAGAACCAGTGCCCAAGATATGCCAGCAATCTGATGCCAGTATGGAGCAAGGCTGGAGGTTATGAAAAGGAAAGGAAGTAGCTTAAGACTCCAGATTGAAGCTGTTGGTGAGTAGTCTTAAACTAGTTATAAGGGCAGAGAACATGAAAGGAGACTTATAACAACATCTCACAAAGTCCAGTTGGACAAGCATGGGGCATTTGGGAAATTTTACATATAATAGAGTTCTGTCAAGTAAAGAAAAGCCAGGGGTGCCTGGGTAGCTCAGTCGGTTAACATTTGCCTTCAGTTCAAGTCATGATCTCAGGGTCCCGCATCAGACTCCTTGCTCAGCAGGGAGTTTGCTTCTCCCTCTCCCTCTGCCCCTATCCCCTGCTCGTGTTCTCTCTCTCTCAAATAAATAAATAAAATCTTTTAAAAAAAGAAAAGCAAAGGGAAAAAAAAAAGCCAGATTAAGATATATTAGCATTTTTCTCTTGCTTTCTTCAGGATGATCTTTGACAGAACCTTAAACATTTCTTATTTCCCACTTTAAAACATTCAATTAATCTCTCTCTTTAGAGTGGAATGTGCTAATAACTAGAAATCTTATAGATTTATAGAACTGGTATCTTTCAACCACCCAGGAGGTGAGACAGATGAAAATAAACATATGTTAAATTAACTAACCAAAATGAAAATTCTCAAAACATTCACAAAACACTTTTAAGCTTATAATCATCAGAAATCCTCACTAAAATGAGGAAACACTTAGACAAAAAAAAAAGAGAGAGAGAGAGAGAAAGAATGAAAGAAGAAAGCTATCATTGGGGATTAGGGTGCCTGGGTGGCTCAGTTTGTTAAGCGTCTGACTCTAGGTTTTGACTCAGGTCACGGTCTCAGGGTTGGAGATCGAACTCTATGTTGGGCTTTGCGCTCTGTGCAATCTGCTTAAGATTCTCTGCCTCTCCTTCTCCCTTTCTCCTCACCTCTGCCCCTTCTCCCACTCACATGCATGCTCTATCTCTCTAAAATAAATAAATAAAAAAAATCTTTTTTAAAAAGCTATCATTAAGATTGTGATCTGAAGTATATGCTAACTAGGAGTTTCTACATCTGGGAAATGTACAATTTAGAAAAATTTATTCTCTTGTAGCCCCATAGTATTTTGTCCCTTCTTGTAGCACCTAAAACAGTCTGTTCTTTTCTTCTCTATTAACCTCTCCCCTTTCTCACCACTGCTCCAATTAATTGTGAACTCAAGGAAAGGGACTTGATTCCTTTTACTTTTTTAACCCACAGCTTCCAGTTCTGCCCTGGGCCATACGCGCTGGAGGCATCAACATTATTTTTATGAAAAGTCTGAAAAGGGATTCCCTAGGACAGCTCGTTAGAGATCAAGATAAATTTGTGCTAAGTATATTAGGTTGAACTACTCACCATCATCTACAATGGATCCGAAACCTGTGACAAATACACTTGTTTTAGGTGGCAACTTTAGAGATGAATCTGGAAGGCAAACTCTCTGTACTGTATTTGAAAACTCAACTCGAGTAGTAAGCTGCGCCAAAGCAATGTCATTTTCGTTTGTTTCTCTGTGGTAGTTTTCATGAAGGATAATTTTCCCCAGGCTTCGTTGCACTGCAGGTGGTGTGATCATTGTACCAAAAGTAGCAATCCATTGACTTGGGTCTTTATTTCTGAAAAAAATTAAAGGGTAAGGTTTGTGATGTTTAACTGCATCCTTTAAAAGAGACTGAGATTGTATTTCTCCCACCTATTGGGACTATGCTCCTGAAAAATCTCCCTGGTGAGAGAATTTACAATTGTTGGCCTTATGGCAAATAGAGTTTAAAATATTAATGAGACAAGTGAGTGTATGAAAGCCCTTAAAAATATTTTACATCCGCTAAAACTAAAAAGAGCACAGCAACTAAATGGAATTCTCATGCTTTTTTGGATTAATAATTGTAATTGATATAAAGAATCGCCAATCTTTTAATTCCTTGTTTGTTAAAAAGGTTCTCTTTCTTCTATAATTTCAGTGAAACGTGTAGAAATTCATTTTGATTTGTTTTGGATAAGGTAGATACTAGGAGGCATTTTTCCCTCTGTATTAGACACTCCATCCATTCTTACTTTATGACTCATCTTGTTTACTGTGTCTTACTGTGATCTTTGACACAAAGTGTAACCTTCCCTGCTTCACAAACCCTTATGTGTCCACGGGTTTGTACAGGTTTGTTTCTCTGCCCTCTGCCCATACACTGTCCCCATAGTCAAGAGCAAAGCAGATCTAACTCAATGTCATGCTGTTAGAGGCTCTCCGCCACCCCTGCCTCCCCTTCCCCACCCTTTGATCTGGCCTGGTCAGTCCCCCTTAGTATTTTTGAGGCTCTGCCTCCACACAGAAGCTTTCCTCTCCCACAAGCTTCTATCACAAGCAAATTCTATACAGTCCTATTATTTCTTTACCTCCCTGTTCTTCCCCAAAGCCCAGTTCTGTTTTGCTAACTATCCCTGTGAAGAATGACTAGAAATATATAGAAACTTGAAATTGTCTATGTAAAGGAAAATTACATAGAAAGAAATCACACAGAGAAGAATTCGTAAGGGGGTTTCCTTGTTCATGCAGGATTACTGTGTTGGTGAATCATGAACTTTTAAGTGTAGTGAAAAACCTGAAAGATCAGTGATTTTCAAAGTATTCTGCACTGCCTCAGGGACGAGCAGGCCTGGCATATGTGGGCGTGAGAGGAGGAGAGGGCGTGGGCACCACAGGGACCTGGAGATGGGGAAGGCTGTTTTACTTATTTATACTTTAAAGGAAGGTTTTATTTGATGCAGAAATCTTAGGGCTGAAGCATTCTTTTGAAAACTGGAATTCTGGAAGATACAAAGAAATATATGACTTCAGTCCTACTACTCTAATTGAGTAGATCAAGTAGAAATACCCTATCCCGTCATGCACTGTCCACCAGAAAGGGAACCTCATGGAATAGTCTAATTCAATCGATGCTTTATGGAGAAAGACACCGAGACTCAGAAGTTAAATGGCTTGCCCAGGTGAGTGATACATCGAGTGGGTTAGTGTCAGAGAGAGATGGCCTGCGATTCTTGACATGCTGTCAGGAACTTTGTCCCCACCCACACTGTTGCACGAAGACTGGGATCATTTTACATGGACATAAAGGTGCTAAGATTTGTCTTAAACACAATTTTTAAAACTACACTATTTCTGTAAAAAAATACACTTACAAAAATTTCAAAGTTATTTGGGTAATTGTGATATAATCTTCAAAGTACACTGTATTTTTTCCTTCACAACAGTATAATGCATTGTGCAATTAAACGGAATTATATCACCCCCAAAATTGAGCCCTTTCTCTCCAAGATCATCACCTTTCCCAACTATTTTGAATTATCACTATTGGCATAAAATAAGCTCTAATAGGTGATAGATAGATGATAGATAGATAGATAGATAGATAGATAGATAGATAGATAGATAACTATCACATTTTTTAAAATCCTTCCTTTGAGTCCACAACCACCATTAACTGTCAAATTTCTCTGCTCCCATTTATTTAAAAACTCCTTGAGGGGCGCCTGGGTGGCTCAGTCGTTAAGCGTCTGCCTTCGGCTCAGGTCATGATCCTGGGGTCTTGGGATCGAGTCCCACATGGGGCTTCCTGCTTGGCGGGAAGCCTCCTTCTCCCTCTGCCACTCCCCCTGCTTGTGTTTCCCCTCCCGCTGTCTCTGTCTGTCAAATAAATAAATAAAACCTTAAAAAAAAAAAAAAAAACCTCCTTGAAAGTGGTATCTAAACTCACGGTATCCAAGTCTTTCTTCTATTCTCTCTTGAATTTGTTCCTGTCCCTGTCATACCACGAATACTGATTTCTCTTGTCAAGGTCACCAGTTATCTCTACTTTATCATACTCAGTGGCCGATTCCTGTTAGGTCTGTTGTCACACAGAGACTGCACTGGGCCTGCTGCGACGTATACTTTAATCACTGTATCTTACTCTCTTTACTAGATATTAATAAATTGACATTCTGGGTTTATTTATGTTTAATTTATGTAAACAGAGGTCAGTTATAAACTAAAATGGATGACACTCTCCAAAACAAGTGCAAAGATTGGAGGACTATGTGATCCCCCAAAATCAGAAAGCCTTAAGTTAGTGGAACTCAAGTTCCCCTAAGGCAGAATGCTAGTTATTCTGAGGATTGTAAATGTATGTTAGGAAATCCTTTTTTTCTTCTCTAGTGAGAGAGTGACAATCACCTTAAATTCCTCAGGTCATTCTCATTACACCTCTACCTATAAAGAAAGGTGTAGGCACCTTGGAACCATTTGGGTGTTACCCTTGGAAGAATGGTCAAGCGTCACCTCATATTACCAAGCACAGTTTTCTCTGAAAGGGAGTGTGAACAGTGCCACTGGCCAGAGCTTTGTTTGGAGCTTTTGTCTTTTGAGAGTTTAAAAGGAACCTCAGGGAGGAAAGACGGTGTGTGCTTGATCTCTTGGGGCAACAGGGTGCCTGGGTAGGTCCATGTATGTGAATGGACACAACTGAGTCTTAAAAGCTATAGCTGTGGAAGCCCAAGCAGCGCACTCCTGTCAGGTGCTATAAAACCAGTCTTCCATACAGTGGGGGCTGTGGGACAGGTGGCAGGTCCCTCCTGTCATCTACACACCTCTCTGGACCCCACAGCCCACATGAGTTCTTGAAGGAAGAGCTCTAAGAGTGATACCCTTCATTTTTTTCTTATTTATGAAGTGATGGTGGATGTTGACACAGGGAGGATAGAGGGGTTAATCAGGGAAAAAGAATGTTAACAGAAGCAGCTGAATTTTCTCCTTGAGCATGTGGAAGAGTTTATACTTGTTATGTGTATAACAGTCAGTCTTCACCAAAATAATACTATAATAATACTAATACTAAGATACTTTATGAGATAGTAAGAAAGAGAACACTAGTGTCATGACAATATAGGAAAATATGTGCTAGGAGCCATAAGAGTGATACAAACCAAACATCATAAATGTTGAGAAAAGAGAGAGGGGAGTGCATGAACAAGGTGTAGAGTAAGCATAATGCATTCCGAAGGCAGAGCAGGATCCATTCTGAATGGAGTAGAGGAGAAACTGGTGAGCTGGACTCTTCCAAGCGCTGAATGGGTGACAGTCGATGACCGGGCAAGGAAGACTCACAACAGCCCTGTGAACTTACTTGCGGAAGCAGTGAGCTGCTGTGAGCAGCCAGGTGTTACTGATAAGGCTGGCTCCGCACTGATGGCCTGCCCCTATGAGCTGGAGGCTGACCTGCCATGGCCACTCCCCTTCCAGAGCAGTTTCCCTCCCTTGGACAATCCTTTCAGTAGAAGAGGATGCTGGTAAAGGCATGTTTGAAGGTGTCATCCTTATTCCACAGCCTGTCACAGAAATATATGTTAGCTTGTTTTCATGAAAAGGAGGAGAAAAAGAGCATATGCTGATTTGCATTGGGTGCAGATGTTTGGCAGTCCATTGTGCCTTCTGTTTTTATCCCCTTCCTAGGACTCAGTGTCTGAGGTTAGTCCATAGGGGTCAACCTGATCCTGTTGAGGTTCAAAAGAAATACTGACTAACAGGTCAAGGCATCCAGTCTGGGAATTAACTTCTCTCTCTATTAAGCATATATGGATAGATAGATAGATAAATCATTTGTTGAGCATTAAAAATATATAGATCCTTTGCTAAATGTTTTAGATTTTATTTATAGCAACACACTTTTCAGATGAAAAAACTGAGCCTTGGAAAGAGAACTTAAATTGCTAGAGGTCACCCAGCTGGTAAGTGACATAAGGTTAGGAGGATCTACATCAAAATTTGTGTTCTTGCTCCTGAGCCCAGGACTGAATGCAGTTCATGATTCCCCCTTGACATGAATTTATACATTGTCGTTGCAAGCCCTGAATTTATTTTTTTAAAGATTTTATTTATTTATTCGAGAGAGAGAGAGAGAATGAGAGATAGAGAGCACGAGAGGGAAGAGGGTCAGAGGGAGAAGCAGACTCCCTGCCGAGCAGGGAGCCGGATGTGGGACTCGATCCCGGGACTCCAGGATCATGACCTGAGCCAAAGGCAGTCGCTTAACCAACTGAGCTAACCAGGCGCCCTGCAAGCCCTGAATTTAAACAGTCTTAACAATGACCTTTTTTTGGTTTTCTAAAACTTTAAAGTCTAGTTTCTAAAAAAAATTCTGATTCTCTGACAACAAACCCCCAATTTGTTAGAGTTCAAATCAACCTCCATAAGACTTGAAGGCATATTGATATGTTTTATTGATGTGACTTTTATTTTTATTTTTTTATTTATTTGTTTAAAGATTTTATTTAATTATTTAAGAGAGAAAAAAGCAGTGAGGGGGGTGAGGGGTAGAGCAGAGGGGGAGGGAGAGGGACAAGCAGAGTGTGCTGAGCCCAGAGCTTGATGTGGGGTTCCATTTCATGACCCTGAGATCATGACCTGAGCCAAAATCAATTCAGATACTTCATTGACTGAGCCACCCATGTACCCTTATTTTTATTTTTTTTAAAATAAGCTCTATACCCAATGTGGGGCTCAAACTCATGACTCCAAGATCGAGTGGCATTCCTTAACGACTGAGACAGATAGGAGCCCCTATTAATGTTCCTTTTAATTATTTACATTTTTATTAAAAATACTAGTTTCTTTCAAAAAGGAATTTTTTTCAGAAACAGGTTAAAAATATATGTCTGAAATCATATTCATAGATTCATAATAATTCCCTCAGAATTAAATAGCTCTAGTTTAAAGTGACCATAACATTGAATAGATGGGATTTCTAGGTTAATATAGTGCCATATTGGTAGTGCCTAACACTTCCTCTCCCAACTTCCTCTTAAAATAGGCATAGAAGTAATACCAATATAAATAATATCTACTAGTTTTGAGCCAGGTCCTATATATAGTGTTACATATATTTTCTTCAATGTTCACAACAACTCTCTATGTTAGGTGTCATCCTCATATTGTAGATGGAAAATCTGTCTATGGTATTTTTCAAAGGCAAAGGGAGCAAAATCACCACAACTTACAGAAAGATGAGAAAAAAAGTTATAAATTCTGGTAAAAACTGCAATTTCCAACGGGGTTTGAAAACAACTTCTTGGACTACCCAAGCTCTAACCTGTGAACCAGAATTATGTGGAGAATCCTGGTAAGGTAAGCTTGACAAAGCCTTTGGCTCCCTGCTATTGTGATTCCCCAGCCCAGGAAATAAAGCTACACTGCACTTGTTCCTAGCCAAGCAGAAACTATGGTTTAAACCATCCCACTGTGACTCATAAACTCATTTCTTCCTCTGTATGTATGCAGAGGCCACATTTCCTGGCACACCATCCTATCACAAGTTACAGGAAAGATGAGAAGTTCTATGAAAACGTAGTTACTCCATGCAGTGGTCTGAATGTGAACCCCTCAAATTTATGTTAAAATCCCAACCCTTAGAGGTCATAGTATTAGCAGGTGGGGCCTTTGGGAGATGCTTAAGTCACCAGGGTGAAGCCCTCATGAATGGGATTAGTCTCTTATTAGAGTCTCCAGAGACATCCCTAGCCCCTTCTGCTCATGGTAGGATGATACTTTAAATCTGTGATTTGGAAGAGGTGCCTCACTTGAGGCTGGCACATGCTGACGCCCTGATCTGACACTTCCAGCCTCCAGAACTGTGAGCAATAAATTTCTGCTGTTTATAAACCACCCAGTCTATGATATTTGGTTACAGCACCAAGAATGGACTGAGATGCCTCATGAAAACTATTTAAACAGTGAAAGGAAGAACACTGGCATCAGTGAATGCTGCATTCGGTGGCGCAAACAGAAAGGTCAATGTAGTTTTCGGAAACTCTGCATGTTGGATCAGAACTTAAGCCTGAATCTAACTATATAGCATGGTTAGGGCCCCCCAAATCAGATGATATATAAACTCAAAAAACACATCTCTGAAAGTTATTTTCTACAAAAAATCTTAGGGCATTTGTTTGGTATCAGCCAAGTTGTGCAAGAAAACATGATCGTAATGTAAGGTAATGTAATGTAATGTAATCCAATGTAATGCAAAAGCAGCCAAACATAAGGGCGAAAATATGCAGTGAGGAGAGTACACATAAGAGCTGTCTGTGATTAAATAAAATTCAAGAAATCAAAGGCACATCATAGCAGATATAAAATCCACATGGAAGAAGAGAAAAAGTGACACCAGGCAACTGAGATAAGTGGTTTTGGGGATTACAGAATTGATAAGATCTTTCTGAATGCAGAGGAAAGTGATCCAAACTGGAGCTAGAAATAATGATTGATATGTAGGGCAGAAAATGGAATTCAAATAAATCATCTGTGTTCCTGAGGGAGGGAAAAAAAAAGAACAATTGGAATGGAAATCAATCATCAAATTTATAATGGAAGAACATTTTTCCAGAACAAGAAAAAAATAGGATACAGATTAAAACATTCATAACGTCTGGTCAAAATTCAGTGCAAAATATAATTACATCTCAATCTGCTGGCATAGGGTAAAGATTTCCTACATTCATCCCAGGACAATAAAAGGTAACCTACATAAGAATAAAAAACACAACAGTCTTAGATTTTTCCTCTACAACAAAACACTCATAGAAAATGGAATAATGTGTATAGAATTTATATGACCCAATGTATATGACCCAATATAGAATTTATATGACCCAGTGTATATGACCCAATAATCCTATAAGAAGTTGAGATAAAGGAAATGGAAGGGGGAAGGCAGAAAATGTACATGCCAGATATTTCAGCAAAAATGCAAGAAAACAGAAATTTTAACAGAAGAAAACTTAACTAGTTACCACTTTAAAACATTCTCTTGAATTGTGGGAGAATATTAAAATACAATATTAGAAAGATAGTTAGAAAACTTATAATATCAAGAATACTATGTAATTCTTTTTTTTTTTACTACATCCTGAAAATCATAAAACTTGAAATTGTAGGGGCATCTGGGTGGCTCAGTTGGTTCAGCGACTGACTCTTGATTTTGGCTCAGGTCATGATCTCAGCATCCTGGGGTCAAGCCCTGCGTTGGGATCTGTGCTCAGTGGGGAGCCTGCTAGAGATTCTCTCTCTCCCTCTGCCCCTCCCCCACTTGAACAAGCTCTCTCTGTCTCTCTAAAATAAATTTTTAAAAATCTTTAAAAAAAAAACCCTTGAAGTTGTACTTGGTGTAAATTTATAAATTTAAATGTTTTAAATATTAAAAATAAGCAGTAATAAAAACACCGAGTATTTGGTTTACAAAAACATAAGATGAGCAAAAAAGGCTTTATAAATTCTACTTCTAACTTTTCTGTGGCTTTTATTCATTATCTTTGCTATGAAATGGACAGTTCATTGTGGGTTTTGGAACTTACGGCTGTTGAGAAGATTCCTCATCTTTTTGCTGTCAATAGCTGGAATAAACAAAACATTGAATTAGTTGGTAGAAGAATATGTTCCTGTTTTTATGTGATTTTTTTTCAAATGGTCACTACAAGAAATGTTTATTACCCAAAGCATCCATTTTTCAAGAGGGTATAAGATTTTTCATAGCTAAGTAATATATACATAACTCTGATTTGATTTGGTCCAAAATGTATAATTTTACTTTAAAATGAAAAGAGAGCATTTTGTTGTTTTCTGATTTTTTCTATGAGATCTGAAAAAGAAATTAGAAAATTAGGAAAGAATGGTAAGGATAAATCATGTCCCTGATTGCCTTCTTGGGAGCTCCAGTATAATTCGAAGATGCAACCTTCAATTCCCATCACAACTGGTGCTCACTGTATTCGATGTACCAGCCAATGTGTGTCAAGCATATGCCTGATGGCCATTGCTGAAAGGGCAGCTCCAGGGAGCGAAGGGCATCACAGGCCCCTCACAGCCTGATTTCCATCCCTGGTCTACAAAGGATAGGAATTCACTCAGTGCAAGTTGATGGCCTTCTCTCACTGAGGATTCTTCCTCATGGTGAATATTGTAGTAGGTTGCAGCTCAGGCAGCAGGCACCAGAGACATGAAGAAGCTGACAAACAGCCAGTCCAGGAACCCCTCCCATACCACGTTATGCCTCCCTTCTGTGACATCTTTTTTCCCTTCAAATTTCTCTTCGTGTTCATTTATGTTTAGTTTCATTGCTTTTTTTTTTTTTTTTTTTGGTTTGGTGTTTGTTTTGTTTTGTTCATTTGGCAGAGAAAATAAAGAAGTATGTGATGATTTCCTCAGGATCACTGACCTCCCCAAGAGAGGGATGTGAGCCCCAAACACTACTAGAGGTTTCCTGGACATTTCACTTCTTATTTAACAGGAGATATGTATGTGGCGGAAGAAAATATTTGTTTATTGAGTATAGTCATAGAATAGAGTTATTCTGATATTAAAACAAACCTATGTAATAAAAATTCAGTGTGCATGACCAGGAAGTCTGAAAAATAATTTTTTAAAAAAATTGTAAAAATTATTTTTAAAAAAATTCTAAAAAACCCCATTTAACATGTTTTTTATGATGGATATGTTAGCATAAATGATCATGCATTAGGGACAATTATATTATCAGAAATTGAAATTTAATTTGAGATTGCCTTTTGTAGAATATTGAAAAATATGCTTTACTTTGGAATATAATTAACACTTAAGGTAGACACCATTCTCTTCATTATTTCTAATTACTTCATGAAAGTTGTCATTAATGTGTGCAAGGATTCTATCTCAAAATGGATTTTGAGTATTTTCCTGATTTCTAACAACAGAGAAATTACCTTTAGACAATCTTTTTCTTAAATTCATGGATGCTTCGAGGGGAAAACTTTCCAGTCCAAAGGGCAAGCCTTATTTCTTGGTAATAAATCAGAAATAGCTGCCCTTGAAGTACTTAATCAGAACAGTGAACACAACTGGAATACCTATTGTGTGTGAGATTTACAGGTTAGTGTTTGGGGGGCGGGGTAAGGAACTAAGAAGGCACAGTACCTGACCTTGAGACTTAACATTTGAAACACATTATTATGCCTCTCAGCTTGGATTCCAACTAGCTGTGAGGTAGTTTTAATTTCTTAACATTTTGACCTCATTTTCTTCTACTTTTGGGGAAAACCGAAACTTTTCCGATTTCGTTTTGTGAGGAATAAATGACGAAATGAATGAAACATCGTTTTAAGTTGGAAATAATCTAGAGAACCTCTTCATAGATCATGTCAACGGTTCGTCCTCCAGGGGTAAACCTTCATAAGGATGTTTGTTTCCCTGATACTGTAGAAGCTAACCCTGGGAACTGACCCGTAAAGATCTCTGGGAGTCGTAACACCTGTACTTTAGTTTTGGCCCCAAGGCTGGCTAGTCCCATGTCTTATATTTTCCTTGAGTCTCAGCTTCCTTAAAATGGCAGAAAATAATACCTACCCTCTCATGCTTTTGAAAAGATCCAACACGGTATATGGGAAAAAACTTAGAAACCTTAGCAAGGGCACCTGGGTGGCTCAGTTGGTTAAGCGACTGCCTTCGGCTCAGGTCATGATCCTGGAGTCCCGGGATCGAGTCCCGCATCGGGCTCCCTGCTCGGCAGGGAGTCTGCTTCTCCCTCTGACCCTCTTCCCTCTCGTGCTCTCTATCTCTCATTCTCTCTCTCTCTCAAATAAATAAATAATAAAAATAAAAAAGTAAAAAAAAAGAAACCTTAGCAAAAGCCCTAATCAAATATGAGAATAAATTCCTAAAATTAAACTTTGCCTTATAGTGAATTTTTATTTTAGCTTTATTCCACACTGATATGTGTATGTCAGTGGTGAAGTCTTAAAACGGGAGAAGATACTGACCTAAATTCTTATGAAAAGTAAAGAGGAATACAAGGGAATCACAAAGATGGTAAAAGGACTTACATGTGAGTGTAAAGGAAGGTTTGTTTATAGTCAAAGGCAACTGTTTTGTCTTCAGACTTTGATATAAAATCCTTTCAATTTTTTTCTTGATTCGCTCAACACTATCAGTAGATGGGTATCGAAACATGAGCACCATAAGAATTTTCATGCCGTGTTCATCTGGACTGAAGAGCAAAAAAGCAGATAAAGCCACCTCTCTAATCATTAGCTATTTTTACCTATTAAGATTCACACTAAATTTTAAAAAACAATGGATGAAATATGTGTACATCAAATTTCTAAATTATCTCAAGAAATACTGGCTCAGATATGTAGCTGAAAAAAATTGTTCTTGCTCTTTACTTAACTCATAGCCTGCGAGGGGAGGGTGGGAGAGGAGGAGATGTCCATGAAATCATGCTTTATATACACTTAAACAATCTGCTTTTCAAGACATTCTGAACCATCATAACCAACATCATTTTTCAGTACTGGTATGGCAGAGACAATGCTTTGTGTTCATGAAACCCAGTTACCTTTTCCTCCTGAGCACAGAGCTAGATATCATTTCCTGGCCTCCTTTGCAGTTTATCGAAACTCGAATGAATTCTGGACAATGGAACGTGGGCAGAAATGATGCACCCTACCTCCAGCCTGGCCCCTGACACCTCCCATACTACCCTCCATGCTTTCACTCTTCCCGTGTTTGCCAACCAGATGCTGAAGATCCAGTAGGCAATTCCATTCCACATCTCTCCCAGCACCCATGTCCTTGCTGCCACTCCCGACTTTTTGGACTATTCCATGGAAATGAAGTAAACCTTTATTGTATTAAGTCATTTATTTTGGGGGATTTGGTGGTCAGTTAATACGTATTTGATAAGTGGATAATTAGAGAAAGCACTTATTAAAGGAAATCTTTTGATAGAGGGGTCACATATTATACTATAATGTGTACGTTTAGAAAGCCTCTAGTTGACGTTTGAGGATGAATTTAACCTTAAAACAGATAAAGAATCAAAGAAGGAAGGAGAGAGGGATGGAGGGAGAAAACAAAGTAAGGAAGGAACAAAAATAGAGAGCAGGAGAGAAGAAAAGGCAGGGGCTCCTTAACCACATGTATATGTACTCTACCATCAAGAAGTGAAGCAGACAAATAAGTATTACAAATACTTATATTTGTATATTGATTGATAGCCACAGAAAAAGTTTAAAATTTTTCATCAAAATAGGCAGAAAACGATATATTATTCCAGCAAATGCCAAGCATTTTGGACATCATATAAAAAGTACATTCGAGATGGATTCTGATAATTTATTTGAGTCTCTTGCAACAAGTATATGTTCAATTTATGCATATTGCCTTTTATCAGAACATAAAAATGAAAAGGTATTAGAAATAATAAAAATCCAGTGGCATTAAAGAAAAACCTTATTGCAGAGAAAGTCATCATCTGTTGTTGTTGGATAGGCTTAGAATGAGGATAATCAAGAAGAGCTGGCCTACATTCTACCTAGCCCTGAGCTGAAAGGAGCAGGTGTGTCACCAGGGCCATTCCTCCCCTTCCAATGTCTAATAACTGACATTGCCTCTTGACATAGAGGACTTTACATCTTCCTATCGTAACTGGGAAATGTGTATGCAGTATAAGCTGCACTGCTCAGGATTTATGAAATCTCTGTGTTCCTGCAAAGATTTGCCTGGAGAAGCTGGTCAGTCATGTTGATGGAGTGCTTCTTAAGGGTACTGGTTTGAAGTTGCAAACTAAATTTACATACCTCAGTTTGATAACATGAGATTTGATAAACCGACCCCCTCCAGAAGAACGTCGAAATATCCTAGACATCTGGTTAGAAAAATTAAATGAGAGAAGTATTAGTCAAAAGAAAAATGTTACTCCTTGTCTTTTCTAGAGAGTTGAGGCAAAGACAATTTCAGTTTATTCCCAGATTGGAACTGGTTTATCATAGTGGTAAGACTAAAAGAGGTTCTAATCCTTGCAGAAACGAATAACCTTAACAAAATTGTGCAATTTTGTCAAGCCTCTGTAAAACAGGATAATAAGAGTATCCACCTCACAGAGTTGTTTTGAAGATTAAATGAAATAATGTTCATCACACACTTCACACCTTGCTGGGTGTAAACTATTGATGATGTTCATTTTGATTATTTTCAAATTAATTTAAGTATCTGTGCTATTTTTAAAGGCAGCATCTTCATTTTTAATTTAATTCAATTTAATTTAATTTAATTAGTTTATCTTTTTGAGAGGGAGAGAGAGAGTGAGCCCATGCAGGGTAGGGAGGGGCAGAGGGAGAGGAAGAGGGAGAGAATCCCAAGCAGGCTCCATCCCCAGCGAGGAGCCTGATGCGGGGCTGGATCTCACGACCCTGAGATCATGACCTGAGCCAAAATCAAGAGTTGGACACTCAATCGACTGAGCCACCCAGGCACCCCAGCATCCTCACTTTTAAGAAAGCCCACCCTAAATTTGTCTTATTCCCAAATATGGAAACTAGTCCACTATTTGTATCAACTCGTTTCTTTCTTAAATTATTATCCCATCACTAAAGATTTGACACAATAAGTGACAATACGTGTCCTTTGACTCTGACACCCTCACTTGTTAGTCACCTTTCTGTGGCAGGCAAGCTTTCACAACTGGTACCAGCTTTGGGAATAAGTTTCACCACACTCCATACCATCAGCATTTTATTACTCGGCTTTTCCAGCCTGAGCCATTGAAGGATTTGGATGTTCAGTGAGCTGATTTCCTGGAACCTAATTCTCAAAAGACTGTTGAGGCAGTGCCTCACAGTAAAAAGCACTGGACTAAGAGTCAGAAATGAGAAATCACAGGTCCACATAAGTTTACATAAGGTCCACCCCCTGGTAAATCTTGCCCTGCCCCCAATACTACATCCTCTGGGAAGGGGGAATATTGCCTCCCTCCTCACAAGATTTCTCCCTCTCCCTGACTCCTTTAAACTAGTAACACTGTTCAGTAGATTTTTTCAACTAAATATTGAATCTCCCTTCCTTCCTCCAATTCCACTGCTATGGTCTGATATCAGCTCCTGAGAAACTTGTGCCTGGGCCTGTGCAGTATCCCCTCACTGGCACGTTTCTGTGATTCTACTCTGTCCTCTTTCCTCTCAGTTGTTCCCCCACAATGCTACCAACCAGGGTGATATTCCTAAAGTGCAAATCTGAGTATGTTATGCTCCTGCTTCAAGCCCAATGTCTCCGTCAGTGTGAGCTCCATAATCTTATGCCTTCATTAACCCTTGCCCCACCTCCACCTTCAAAGCCCATTTTCTTTTTGAAAGATTTGTTTTTTTGTTTTTTTTATTTTATTTTATTATGTTACGTTAATCATCATACATTACATCATTAGTTTTTGATGTAGTGTCCCATGATTCATTGTTTGTGTATAACACCCAGTGCTCCATTCAATATGTGCCCTCTTTAATACCCATTTTCTTATCTACTGAATGACTTACTCTTTCCCAATCCCACTCGACTGGTTCATACCTCTGTGGCTTTGCACATTCATTTCTTCTTCCTACAATACACTTCTTTCCTCTGGCAATTCCTTTAATGACAATTCTGTTACCATCCAGACACTCCAGGGACAAATAAGTTATCTTTGACTTGCCCTCCTCAAAGTTCAACACTCCTTTATTTGGGCCACCCCAGCATCTTGCACATGAGGCTGTTATAGTGTTTATCATACCAGTTCACAGCTGTGCCTTTCCCCCTCTAGACTGTGAGCTGGGGAGGGTGTCTGATCCATCTTTTTATCTTCAGTGTTTGGAACACTGCCTGGCCCACAGTAAATCTTCAGTGCAGGGTTGAATAAATCCGTGAATGAATAAATGAATTAAGAATCAACAATAAGGTAAAGGGAAGAAGATAATAACACACTGTTTTGTTTTATCTGCAGATCATGTTGCCAGGTATAAATAGAAATCCATGGGAATCTAAAGCAAAGTGGGAGCCAGGAGACTCCAGTGGTGACCCCCTTTTGTATGGTCATTTCAGGGTTTGGATCACTTTTGAGTTATGTCACTTATGATTTCACTAAGTTTCTCTGAGCTCATTTTATTTCCATATCTCAGGGAACAGGGAGAAAACCTGATGTTAAGGTCTCCAGCACTTTATATAAATGTCCTCTGAAATTCTGAACTGTGCACATAATGGCATTTGGGGAAAGGATCAGGATTCTGTCATATCAGAGTATAAGAAAGTGGTAAGAATCTATTCAAACTAAAATGTGATTATTAGCAAGACTATCATTCCCTGAGGAGTCGACCTCTGTTTTAAAAATGGGTAGATTCTGGTACAGTATGGTATGTTATGACCACTAATAATAGCTTACATGTACTAAGTTCATACTACAAGGTATGCATTGAGCCAATTCCTTTGTTTAAACCTTATGCCACCTTAGGAGTAAAGTATTTTTTTAATTCTTATCAGCTTCATTTTAAAGATAAAGAAACTGTGTCAGGACATTTGCCTAAGGTGGCATAGAAAGTGCTGGTTCTGGCATATAAACTCAGGGAATCTGGTGTTAGATCTTGTGTTCTTAATTATATTAAGTGACATTGACAACCCTTATATACTTATATACCTGATGACAGATGTTCAGGTTGGTTGTGGGTAGAGAGTCCTGGGGCAGGAAATCCTTAAAGAAGACCTCAGATACATCTTTTATTCCCTGAATCTAAACCTCATAAAAGATCATCTCTTGGGAGGTTGCTTTTTTTCTGCTTCTGAAAAACTGTTCCTTTTTGGACACCTAATCATCACTGTAAGCAATTTCTGGAGAAAATTAACTTACTGTTTATATTTTTCTGCTGAGAACTCAATAATATTATATTTAGTCGAAATTACAAAAACTAATTGTATCCTTCCTTTTTCATGGTTGAAACCTGAGAATAGATTTTTTTTTAGAGATTATTCTGCTTAAAACAAGATAGAGTCTAAGGCTAAAATGGGAAAAAAGTCACCTTAAAATCAGATCCCACTTGGAGTCCTTGGTTTGTACTCCAGCATCAAAAACCAAAATGACATGTTTAAAACAATACTTGTGACTCTGACTAATAATACATCCAGTTACTATCTTCTGCAAGCTTGAGCTTGTACCTTCCCTCTGGCTGGGAACTGCATGCAGATTAAGTCCTCATGAAAGATCAGTAGTTACTGGATGCCAGCTAGGGAATCCCTTTCCAGGTCCACCCATGAAAATAAGTCAGGCAAGTTCTGCAGATTTTCTGCTACTGTCAGGAGAATATGTAACAACAGAGGGTGGATGCACCAATAAAATATATCCCTGTCCCTTTCCTCTCCAAGAAAACTTCCTGCTAGTTCAAAGGGATTTTTCCTTCCTCCGAACTCCTAAAATACTTTTTGTTCACATCATATATATCTGACAATTATATCCTGTACTGTGACAGCTCTCATATTGCCATATTATCTTGTTATCTAATCTATCTTGTTTGCATTCTTTTCCATGTACAGACTTTCATACATAAACTATATTGTAAACTCCAATAAGTCAATAGGAAAAAGACAATTATCATGTGGTTTCACTCATATGAAGAATACAAGAAACAGCACAGAGGATCATAGGGAAGGGAGGGAAAAATGGAATGGGAAGAAATCAGAGAGGGAGACAAACCATGAGAGACACTTAACTATGGGAAAGAAACTGAATGTTGCTGGAAGGGAGGTGAGTGGGGGGATGGAGTAACTGGGTGACGGGCATTAAGGAGGGCACGTGATGTGATGAGCACTGGGTGTTATATGCAACTGATGAATTACTGAACTCTACATCTGGAACTAATGATGTTCTATATGTTGGCTAACTGAATTTAAATTAAAAAAAACTCCAATAAGGAAGAGACTGTACTATTTAGATCTTGGCATCCTTCACAGTCTTGCACAAAATAAGTGTACAATAACATTTTCATTAACTGATTGATTCTCCAGCTGTGGTTAATCATAAACAACATTGTGAAGAAAAAATGCCAGCTTTTGCATCTCTTCATGACTCTTTCACTATATTCTGTCTCCTTCCTTTTTTTCTCATTTATTTATTCACTTAATGTAATTGATTAGGAATATTCTACGTTTAAGGCACTATGATAACACTGGATAAAAATTAGGAAGCAAAAAGTTGTTGTCCCTGGACTCATAGACTAGAGGGATAGACAGTAATCAACAAAGATAAATTAATTTCAAGAGGCAACTAATATAGTAAAGTAATATAGGATAATGGCTGGGGTTCTATAATAAGTAAGGGTTCTCCAAGGAGGGACATTTAAGTGATATCTGAAAGATCAGATGGAATAAGCAACAAAAAGAGTAAGATCATGGGACAATCTTCCAGGTAGAAGGAACAGAATGTGCAGAGCCTCCAAAAAGAAGGCCAATATGGTTTGAGAACAGTGAGCAAGGAGGAGAGCCAGAGCATTAAGTTCCTTGGAGGACTTCATAAAAAGCTGGGATTTTATTCTAAGTACATTTGGAAGTCACTTATGAAATTTTAAGCAAAGTAATATATATGTTTTTAAAAGATCATCTGGTTGCTATGTACGTAAGATATTAGAGGGGCTTGAGTGGAAGCAATGATTATGGTGAGCTGCCTATATGAGGGATCGTATTAGCTAGGTTTAAGATGGAGACGGTGAATTAGAAGTAGAAACATCATTTGTGAATGGATTAGACATGAGGATAAGAGAGAATAGTATTCTAGCAACTAGATGGACAGTGACATCATTGGCTGAGTGGAAAAAAAAATAGGAATTAGAGAATGAGAAAGGGAACAACTTTTAAGAATTG